TATTCAACATCCCCCTTTCCTCCATCTACACACGCAATTCTCGAGTGGGCAGTTTTTCCTCTTTTTCTTTTTGTTAGTGTTAATGGATATATTAAGTCTGACTTAGACATTTTAACTAAAAATGTTCCATCCATTTCCCCTTCGATTTGAGAAGACGCCTCTTCCAATGACAAGTTTGGGAAGAACCAATCGGCTTGCATTATTTTATAAAAGGACATCAAGTAGTCTTTCTTATAAAAGAACTCTCCAAATATCTTCATTAAGTAAATAAGTCGATCAAGAGACACTTCTCCGTTTTCTCCAATATTTTCGATGATAGTTGCAAAATTGACATTTTGGATGTTATAAGTTTTTTTGAGGACATCAACAAATACTGGGGAAGGCACACTTGTTTCCACCTCTTTTCCTTTGACTGAAAAATTCTTCTTCCAAAATTTCATCGCGTTCTTTGAATGCAATTTTAACTGCAAAATTACGTCAGATACCATTTCAGTCATTTCATCAATATTAATTCGACTTCTCACTCTTAACATAGCCTTCTGAACTATCTCTTCAGCTTCAATTGGTACGTTTTTCATCTGTTCTCCGTAGTTCTTTTTGATTTCTTCCACATTTACTTTTTGTGGATCGATCTTACCAGTTGTATGGATGTGAGGAAGTCTGAGTGCATATTCATTCCCTATATTGCAGCATAAAAATTGATTGCACCCATTGAAGAGTTGTAATACTCATTAAAAGGCTTTTTCTCATATAACATCTCCCATAAAACAACACCCATTGAGTATACATCCACTTCTTTTCCATGTGTTTTCCCATCTTTCTCAAAAGTCTCTGGAGCAGAATATAAAGGTGTTCCTTCACAACTTTTAATATCAGATTTGCCCTCTCGAGCCAAATTAAAATCAGATATTTTAATTACACCATTTGGAGTAAGAAGGAAATTGGTGGGCTTCAAGTTGTTATGTGCAATATTGAACTTGTCATGAACCCACTGAATACCTTTACAACATTGGAGGAAAATATTTAATTTGCCAAAAGTGGAGTGGTCTATAGTTTCGAGCACTTTTGGAAGCTGAAGATAAATGTACTTTTCAAGATCACAAGCAGCCAATTCCATTACAATACCAACAGTGTCTTCGTAAGGAACAACCCCAATAATAGACATTATATTAATATGGCGAAAAGATTGGATTAAAGTTACTTCTTTAAGTACATCATCCAGAAATGTACTTTCTATTACACATGGTTTGATTAGTTTTAAAACAACATTTTGAATCTTCATTGTGGCTTTGAATACAACACCAAACTTGAGAGAACCAAGAGGATTTGGATCTTTTGTCAATTCTTTCGAATCGATAATCAATGAAGAAGTTTTTGTTAAAGTGTTCTACTTTATTAATATTTTTGTTCGTTTTTTATATGTTTATAAATGTATTGATTTGGGCAAATGTTTCATTTTTGTTTTGTTATTCAATTAGAACATACGATTTACATAAAATAACACATTTGAAAAACTTAATAAATACAAAAACAAACAGAAAGCATAATTATTTAATTATTTTAAAGTTCGTTTTAATAAACAGTTTTCAATAAAACTCCACAACTAAAACTTGTGTGTAGTGTTATTTAAAACACGAGAATAATAAAATTGCTTAAATAAAGTAAAAATTTATTTATCTAAATAAATTCAATGAGTTTTTACAAGATATAAAAACGCTTGTGTTTTATTTACCACTCTTTATAGTTTTAATAATAGTAAAAAATATTAATAATATTTAAATACAAATAACTACATCAAACAAAAAATGTTACTACATGGAATCTACACGTTTTTTGGTAATTAGTACTATATTTTTTATTTTATTAATATCATTATAATCTTTTAAATAATATTAAAAGTGGTTAAAAGTAAAGAATTTGTTATAATTTATTGTATAATGTTGTGTAATTCACTACACTTTCTGATAAAATATTAGTAAAGGTAATTATTAATAATTATTGTATTGTATTGTATTGTATAAATATTATTTATCATAGTAAATAAATGTTTTTATAACAAAAAAAATTAAAACCACATCGGTTTTTTGTTTTTACCTTTTTGTTTGTGTTATATTATGCTAATTTTATACTTTTTAAAATAGGAAAATAATTATATTCTCAATTTTAAGACATTTGATACAGTCTGTTAATAACTTTATCTGGTTACTGTATGAACACGAGAAAAATTTATATTGGAGCCATATTAAAAACTCATCTCATTATATCACTTTACTTTTACCTAATGCCCGATGTGTATATATTGATTAATTCTATTTTTGTTAACCATATAAAGTGATAAAACCAACTTTATAGTCAGTCTTACAACGTCATAATATATAATGTTGTTAGACTAACTCTATTTTTTTATTTTACACTTAGTTATTTCCGTTAATTTTGAGTTAATTTACATTTAACTCAAAATTATAAATATAAATATAATATTTAATAGTAAATATATAAAACTATTTAATTATTTAAATTGTATATTAAAACTATACAAAATTATTTTATTTACATTTTTGAAAATAAAATAATATATTTTATTTCCATATATAAAACTATACATTATTTACATTACATTAGTAAAAAAAATAACTAAATATGAAATAGTTTGTGGTGAACAGACAAATAAATACAACTCAATAGTATAAAAAACTAATGAGATTAGTATTAAAATCGAATACTTTGAATTTGGATTCATTCAATATAAAAAATCGAAAAAAATGAATTCGTTGTTTTAAAAATAGAAAAACTAACGAAAATAAGTAAAATAAGGATAATAACTTTATTTCCAAATTATTATTTAAATTGCAAACTTATTAATTTACTTCATGTTGTTGACTCTTCTATTATTAACACTTTCAGGTGCATATCTGACTCCTTTATCAACATGCCAACCCGCAAGAATATCATATTACACGTTTTATAACTCTGAAAGTGCACGATGTCAATTAGGTACTGAGAATGTGGACACCATGTTTCGTTGTGCTCCAAACACTGCTTTTCTGAACAAAGCTTCTCAGTGTGGGATTTGCTACGAGGCCGTTGGTGAGGTTGGTTCTGTTCGATTTATGGTGACTGATGAGTGTCCAGCCGGTAGTAACAGTGAACATTGCTCTGGTGATTACACGCACTTTGATATGGCTTCCAATGCCTTTCCGAGCTTGTGCGACACCAATTTAGGTCTTTGTAATATAACATATCGAATGGTCGCCTGTGACCACACTGGCAATATTAAAGCCAAATTGAAAGATGGTTCCAGCAATTATTACATTGGAGTGATCTTTAGAAACCACATTGTTGGTATTAAAAAGGTTCAAATTTCGTTTGGAGGAAACACATATGATTTAACACGAGACGAGTCCAATCAGTGGCAATATAACGCACAGAACACTTTACCAGTGACGTACTTGATCACTTCAATCGACGACGATGTTGTCGAGTTGACTGTTGATAGTTACTCGACATCGACGTTGTTTGAATCTAAACGCAATTTTAAAATACCACAAAACACGTTCTTTGACCCGGCGACACTGCAGAAGACAGCAGTGAGTAATTCGAAAGAATGCTGCGAGACTCCTAAGTTCAAAAATATATATGGAGATAAGTTCGAAACACCTTATAAGTTCATTAACACCGGCGGAAGTGACAATCAATGCAATGGAGACAAAAAGTCGGGAAGCTGCGCACTTTCAATTCAAGTCCCACAATGGAGAGGATTCCAATTCACCACCGGAAATCACCAAATAGCTTCAAAGTCAATTAAAGAAATAACGTTCTTTGGAAAGGCATCAAAAGAATGTGACTTGATGGTGTGGGCGCTCTTCAAAAACTTAAAGAAAACATTGAAAATGACGACATCGTACACATCGTTTTCAATACAATTGAATGAAATTGGAATAACAGAAAGTGATCAATATTGGTACGGTCTTGAGTTCCAAAACCCAGACCCAAGCCAAGTAACGTTTTACTTTGATGATATTAAAACAGTGTACGATGGAGAAGTCTGTACACAAAAATGCTCAGATCATACTTCAACGTGTAATGGAGGAGGAGATGGTGATGATAACAGTAATGGTAATAACCCCTCAAAAGATGAAGGAGAATTATATTACATTGTGTTCTTCATGACAATTGCATTGATTTTTATCTAAGGAATAATCCATAAATAATTGATGTTCCATTTTTAGTTGGTTTTATTGTTACATTTTAACCTTTATAATGGAAGGACGCCCCCAAACCACAAAGGACGTTTTTCGGCCTTTTTTCCCATCCTTCA